TGAAGGGGCTGGACGGGACACACACATTGCCTCACATGAGCACACAAACTGCAGACATGTTCAAACGTGGGCACAGGACCGTATACTTGTGGTTACAAATAACAATATTTCACTGCACAGCTACCACAGTACTCTGTGATGCCCATTATCTCAAAAATAAAATGCGGGGAGCACAAATTTGCTCACTTTTGCAATACGCAATTACAGAGGACTTTGGTTCCTTGAGGCGGGAACTCACGCCTACCCTCAGCTGTGCCCCCCCAAACTAAAGGGGTCAGCAAGATGTCTGACACGGCCAGCAGGAAATAGAACTTTAGCCTTTTACAGCAAACGTCAGGGCATTTAGATGCTTCGGCGTTTAGGAAACGGGGCGCAGCAGAGGGAGCCGAACCTGAGCGGGCCGGTTAAAACGTCCCATTAGCATCCAGAGACATTCCAGAGGCGCTTCTGGGAAAAAGTAAACAGGTTAAGCAAATGGCACATTAATCTCAGTGATGAGGTTTGCTTATTTGCCGTGTCATCCGCATGAATCCATCACACTGTGGAAGCCAGCAGCACAATGTGGTGTCTCACAAAGCCCTCGCGTGCTTTGGTTAAAATGGGTCGAGTGTCGCACAAAGGAAACCACCTCGGCTCTCATAAATGCAAACCACAGATAACGTAACCTCTGCTGACAACTGCCTGTGTGGCCGTGTTTGAGTGAGGGCCTACCAACCTGATCGTCAAGTCTCTGCCGTACAGGACAATGAGCTCATCATGGGCACACACAACGGGGCTGCAGAGTCAACAGAGCCACGGGGGGGGAGAGGGCAATAGACCGGACACTCAGCACAAGTGTGCACAGCGTTTGGGTGAAGAAATGTGTGGCTTTGTAGCTAATCATATACAAAAAAAACCCACAACCTCTCTGATCAAGTGAATGTGCCCATTCAAGTTCCCCAGTTCAGTGAAGTATCACAGAAAAACTAGGCCACTGACCTCAATGTGGGACACATATCCTGCCTTATTGTGATTATTTTAAATGTGAGTTTAACATGTTTGCAGAACACACCCAATGGAAGAGGAAAAGTTCACATTTCCATTAATAGAAGAATAGGGGCCCACTTTTGGCCTGAACCATTCCTAACTGAAATACAAGGATGAAGTACTTGCAGGCTCCCCCTCACCCCCATCAAAATAAATCATTGTAAGAGCTAAAACTAATATCTATTAATTTAAATAACTTGATAATAAATCATTCTGTCCATCTGAGAGCACTTAACCAACTCCCGTGTTAACCACTGAGTGGTTCGATCACAATAAAGCTCTGGATCTGGGTGGGTCAGTGTCTGGAGGACAATAATAAATGGCCCAAAAGAAACACAGGCCACGCGCATTGTGCGCAAGAGTTCAAATCAAACCTGCAAGAGAGATTTTTGCTGTGATCGCTCTGGGCTTTAGGCGTAAGGATTAAAACAAAAGCATGCACTCTTACCGAGCATCCCATTCATAAAAAAGCCGGCTGCAGCTCCACTCCTAGGCCCCCCGGCAGGTAGCTAACCGGAGGTGCGCGCAACAAAAGAAAGATGCGATGCGGCCGGATTCTGCGCTCCGCGCGCCGGGGGAGGTGGTCCGGTGCAGAGCTGGGGACTCGGTGTCAGACAAAAAAAAAAAAAGCTGCTTTAGTTGTCACCGCATCCTCACAAAACGGTGCTTCTGAATTGAGGCGCAGCCACTCAGCACAATGCCTCCTGCCGTGGGGCGCGTGGACACGCCCTCCCGTGCGCGGATCCTTAAAGACACAGCGTGCCGGCGCGGGCCCACCATGACGCGACAGAATGAGCTTCTTTTGGAGTGAAAGCGCGACGTAGGAGTTTCATACGCTGATGACAATTAGAAAACACGAAAAAACATAATATCCCATGTTGAATTGGCCTATTACATCATTTAATTATGTTAACACTGTCTGTTAAAAGTAGCCTATAGTGCCTTTATTAAATTATATTCATATATATTATATTGGATATTCTAACAAGTTTTCTGAATGAAAGTTTTGTCTGAATATTGCTTGATAACCTTTAAACTCAATAGCATAATTAAACATGAATAGTATGATTTTCGAAACAAATCACATAAAGGTGAAAAAAGGCAAAGTATTGGCAGCATTTTTCTTTTAAAGACGTTCATGTGCAATGAGGAAGTAGAGTTAAAGTTAACCACATAATTACTTCCAAGATCTTGATGAGGGCGCATTACAGAGAAATGTGTCCTCTGTATACAATAGAAAGTGCAGACTGATCATATGGGTGAATTTGAGATTTTACAGGAAGTGAAGTGACTAAAAAAAAGTTCGGGGGCAGGGGGTATTCGACTTTCAAATGCATCTGAGAATGATTTATGAACATTAAAGTCCAAGAGACAAATAAGAAAACATACTGAGAAAATTGTGATCATTACATCATTTTATGATGTTTGACTGTCAAAGATACTACAGCAACATTAAAAAATGTAACAACTTTTTGAAGAACTATTATGACATATTTCCCACGAATGTTGTTTATTAGCAACTGAACTTGCCTCTTTTGTACTTTAGCCTCCTCAGGGGCCCATTCCTATTCACCTCTGTTTGTGTATTCTATAAAATCTCATTTACAACTGTATATATAAAGAAGAGTATATGTGCACACTATTAAGGCTCTGATTCTATGTCTGAACTAGATTTTTAGCCTGCAAGAGAGGCAAATTGTTTAACTCAGAGCACATTCAATATTCTTTTTTAACTGGATGTCAGCATCTTGACACGAGGACAGGCCAGTTCAGACTTTTTGGATCGTGACCATGTGGAAAAACAACTCTGAATACAGCCTGAGCCTGGACAAAAGGCTACTGCAGTCAAAGTCTCATCATACAGAGCCATATTCTCCCATCAGCTGGTGGGACACAGCATTCTGGGAACACATCCAAAGGGAGGAAATGGCTCTTTTCTCCCTGTGCAGTTCATGAAAAAACAAAAAAAAATCAAGGGAGGTCAGAAAAAATGTGTGGAACTTTAGAGCAACACGACAAAAAAAAAAGTGGTAGTTACAGTGATGAGTCATTCTGCAGGTAGAGTGACCTTTGCCGCATGAAATTAGTCTACCATTCACACATTCCTTTCTCCTGAGCTTTTTTTTTTGGGAGGGGAGGGGGGGGGGGGTCTTTCTGGAAGCTTCCTGCTCATTTACATTTGAAAAGGATCCAAGTGTTGAGGACAGCTTATCAACCTGAAATACACAAGATGAAACAAAACCCGCAGTCTCTTAACAAGTCTTTCGGAGTCGTCAGACTTTGTGGAATGTGTGGAAGCTTTCCTCAAAGTGTAATTAACAGATACTCTTAAATAAGAAAGCCAGGTGATAATTTACCCAAAAGTAACTAATACATGTACGACCCAGCACATGGTCTTTGCTTCGCATTTCGCTGGGACCTAGCATTTCAGCCATGTGGTTAGTCCCACAATCATTCTATGATGTGACCAGAGAGTCATTTCAATCCGCAAACCTCAAATTCTTCAGACTGCCACTAATAACAGGGGACCTTTATTAAGTGATTAGTTTACATTGGACTAAGAGATTGGATAGGAGATCTAATCATTTTGCTCTTACAAAGCATGTTTTAGGATTTGACCGTGATAAAAGAGGGGGGGGTGTTCATATTTTGATTTATACTAACTGGTATTACTTAAAGGAAAACATTAGATTCTTTGGTTTCCAGAAGTGAAATGCCATAAAGATTTTTGTTCAGGCAAAATGTTTTGTGAATAAGAATCTTCTACAAACTGTAGCATCAATTTTGCATTTGCATGAGTCTTCATTATGATGCCCTGATTTTAGACTCACCAGTCAAGAGTGGTTAGACACACGTTAGACGAATGTGCTCTGACGCATTCCAACAAACACAGTCAGAATTAGGGCACATTAAGTCGGTCCCGTGAGAAGACACTCGACTGAAATGTAAAGCTGTGACAGATTTGTTGGCGTGAAGCTGAATGTTCTCTCTCTCAAAAGGCATACAGAAGTTATCTACATGCTGTCTTTAATTCAGTGTTTGATTGAGTTGTAAATATCGCAAAAGAAATGCATTAGGTTCACAAGTTAACTTTAGCATTTATATTATGGCCACAATGTTGCCATTAATTACAACAAAAAAGCATTAGTGTTTTTCATTAAAGTGGGCATACGGACTTGTTTAACACTTAAACATCCTTTTAATTTTGGCAGCAGTCCATAACTCTACTTTAAACAAGGGTCTCCTCAAGTTCTAAGAAAAGTTCAAAGAGCCAAGGGGACCATATGTAACCTTTGAGGGTGGAATGTTGTTCTGCTCTTGTCTGATGGAGAACTGAAGCTGCTTAACAGTCAAAAGTATTTTTTGTGTCTTTTTTGGCCGTCCCTGAATAAAAAAAACATCCCAATGAGAGCACTTCTTGCTCTAATGGCTGAAAATACTTTTAATAATTGAATTCTAGATGTGAAAGTTAGATATCCCAAAACATTAAGTGTCTGGATCCAAAGAAATTAAAATGTCAGTTAGTCTAATGCTGCTTTGGGTTGACTTCTAAATGATGGAAGTGATTCTGTTGTGGCAGAGTGTAATGATGTATTGCTGAAAGTTCAGTGTCTTCACATTTGATCATCAGGCAAAAGTAATCAAAAACTCCATTGATATGAGTTTTCTTCAGATTTCTAAACTCCTGCTCATCTCGCTCTTCTGAGACTTTGATGTTCAAGCTGATTCTTTCATGCAATATCATGTCACCAGTTGCTCACATAACACTTAAATTGTGTGTAAATACCTTTTTTGTAGATATTTCCACCTGTTGATACGTGTTGCTGAGATCAAATTCATGATTTTCATGAAATGGGTCAAATTCTCTTTCAGTTTTGATCATGTTTTTATACAGTGAATGAAGTACTGAGATTTCCAAATTATTGCATTCTGCTTTTATTGACATTTTAAACAGCATCCCAACTTTTGGGGAATTTGAGTTGTACATGGACTTGATTGAACACTCCGGAGACTTATTTTCCTAAAATTAATGTAATGAAACCAGAAACTGAGAAGTAATTCTATCTGCATGTTGTTCAATATTTCATATTTATACACCCTTTTATGTCAATTTAACATCAGTCATATAGTCATAATTTTCCCACTGCATCTTTCTATCTGCTTTACTTCGAAATCTGCAGGCATGATCCAAATTTGCTATGTCAAAATCAATGTTTTCTGGCCTGAAATAAAGAGATTACCCTGGCACATGTTTCATCCTTCCAATTTTCAGCATACTTGCACCAGATCTGGCTTTTCTTCAAATCCTTCCCTGGAACTCACACTGTTTCACATCTAAGGCATGTCTCTGGAACACTGCGGCTGAGAGAATCAGGTCATCCTCCACTTTGGGATCAAGTGTCAGAAATCACTTTATGTTCCCCATACAAGCAAAAAGGTCTATGGAGGACTAAATCTGGGAAATAGTTGTCTGCAATGTTTGATAGGGCTTGTTTTATTTAACACTATTGTTTATACAACATTTATAAGGCTCGAGTAATCCTCTCATATGTCAGCATTATAAATCCCCCGACTAATTTTCCAATGAATTGTTCTACATACCATTTAATCACATTCAAAAACATTCTGATGATTCATGAAAACAAGTCATCAGAAAATAGAATAATTTATTTCAGAGAGCTACAATGAATAGGTCCATGCTGCTTCCTTGATTGTGCACTGTGTGCATTTTCTCACTGGACAACTGACAAACTAGCCTAGTTTATTAGGCATGGTCCATGCAACTTTTGTAAAGAATCAGCATGTTCAAAAGTCTTGAAACAAACATGACATATTGCACTTATTTTTGTTCTCTAGGCATAAAATAGTTTCAGAAAATCAAATAATTGCCTCGGTTCACAGTAACACTTTGAATACACTTCATGTGACAGTTCCTGGTGATGTCTTTCACACTTAAAACATGTGTTGTGTTGTTGTCTGTCCATAAATGAACCTTTTAAATAATCATAGAAGTACAATTTAGCAGAGCTCCTCTTCAGTGAACACAGTGAGGCTGTGACTATGTACAATACAAGCTGTCATTGCTTACAAAAGACACATTTTACTCTTGAAACAATTAGAGCATCCTGTTTGGTTATAGTTATGAAAATAAACACAACCTGGTTAACTTTAGGAAATCTTTGCATGTTTCATTTATGTTATTTTCATCTTTGTAACCTGACAAAAGTAACGTACTCTGGTCTTACTTTGACAGCTTTAGCATATATTTTCATGTGGTTTCAATGAGAACACATTTCAATGAAGATTTGTGCATTCGTTATTTTCTGTAAATATGATAAGAGCAAACAGATGCACATGAGGAAAGCTGTAGATCTACTGACATGAGCACCAGCGGACAATCAACATCCTCAGACTACTATAAAGGTGCCACAATGCTTTAATGTGATTCTTAACATCGTCACTAGTGATGTTTGGAAAATGTTGAGCTTGAAGCTGATTGATATAAATACCTGGTAAACAATATGAGACAGTTACATATATTAAACACGTACGGCAGCTCAAACAACGACTAGGCAGAGTGAAAAAGTCAAAGGCAGCCAAGGTGCCACAGTGAGCACTAGTGCCTCTCTCCGAGTCAGAGTCCACTCCTCACTATCAGTTTGTTCTTTGTCAAACATTTATTCCATCAGAGTTGGATTTCCGTTGTCCTGTCTCCGGAAGCCGAGTGGTCCAAACTCTATATGGATCTAATGTGGTTGTTTTTCATAAAGCTCTCATGATAAGCAATGGTACTTTATATTTTAAACAAGGATTTTTCTTCCCCCCTTCAGAACATTAAGTTTGGTTCCCCTTTGTTCACATGGTCGTTGAGTCAAATAAATTCAGAGTATTGGTAAATGATTGTCTTTCCATGAAATACACATAGCAGAGATTAACCAACTAAACACGGTCATACAAACACACTCTTCACATAGGAAAAAGCGCTATTAAAGATGCCTGCGATGTTTCGTACTGAGCAATGACTCTGTCAGGAAGACAGAACGAGAGATGAAAATAAAAGAGCCAAAATACAAAGAAATAAAAAAAACAGAAACAAGAACAAATCCTCATCCTCAGGGTCCTGCTGTTATTGGGAGGAGGGCTGCGTGTCAAACAAAAGAGGAGAAGCCAGCGGTAGGTGCCTGAGGGGCACAGCCCAGGCTGCTGGGGGGCCGGTAGAGGGTGCCGTGCTGGCTGGGGGGTTCGGATGACAGCAGCGAGGGGGTGGGAGTCCGGCTTCCCTTGGGCCTGAACAGAGTGCCCTGGCCCTGGCACTGGGGCTGTGGGGATGGTGCGCTCTGGGGTACGAGGGGGGGCAGAGGGGGCACGGGCGGCGGGTGCGGCCGGGACTCCTGGTCCACCACGGGCTCGGGCTGGGAGTAGCCGTACGCCGGCGGGCGAGAGACGCCCTTCTGCTGCCGCCTCCAGGAGTTGTAGTAGGTGGGGTCGCTGATGTAGTGGTTGACAAAGGAGTGGGTCTTCTGCCTGCTCTGATCCATTTCGTACTCGCTGTCGCTGCCCTGTTAGTCAGTTCCCACAAACACGGAGAAGTCACAGTGACGGTGAGAGCAGGAAGGCGGCGTTATCAACCAGACAGGTACCGTGAAATCTAATGGAAGCTACATTTTCATGCTCTCAAATCACGGCTAACTCGATCTCTAGGGTTTTTAATTTTACTTAAAAAACAAAAAACACTGAGCCATGGCACAACGGGAAATCTCCAGTCACAACTCTAAATCGGTGAATGCACGACAAATCTACGGGGTATTCTTCACACTCTGGCAGACACACTGTCGGGGCTCACCTATAGCTTGTTGGAGTACAAATTTGATAACTGTACACAAAGGTGTCCTAGAGTTGGACAGAGATAACGTTTGCAGGGTTAGTGGGCTATTCGTGCGATATTAAGCCGTCGGTTTTGTAAGGTAAAGATGCTTGAGTGGGTGAAACCTCCTGCTGCTCCGCATTGTAATTGCTTAGAAACACAAAACAGTCGCAAAAAGGCTGCAAATGACTCTCAGGGACCACATTAAACATGTGGCACAGTTGTGTACTTGACATCCACTCGCTCATCTCCAGCTCTATTGAGATACTCCAGCTGAGCAGATGTTCTAGCACCATTTATTTGGACAAGTGGCAGGTAAATACAGGGAGGCTACCAAGAGGAAAAGAATAACACGCTGTTTTGTCTTCAGGGTGCGCTCTGTTTGTTCAAACTGGCTTGAACAATGTTTTGACTGTGCAGGTACTAGATAAATTGGTCAGGGAGACCCTGCACGAATGTGGGGACACAGCTGTTAGAATCTAAAACAATCTAATCTATCCTAATCTATCCCCCATCACCTCTCTCTTCTTGATTGTATCGCTTCCACACATGAAAGGATGAGCTAAACTCACAAGAAAAATAACTGATTTGGTTAATTTAAACCTTTTAAGTACATATGAAATAGGATAAATAGCATACCCCCCCACCTTAGAGAAGTTAGCATTATAAGATCCAGAAATGTCAGTTATGACTAGGCTTTGCTAATAGAGGATATCTAATAAGGAGCTGATCCACTTCAGGCAGATTGATTCACAAAACACCATAAATGATTCAACAGAAATTAATGTCATAATGAGACAGCTGTCTAGTTTCTACATTCAGCAGAGCAGTGATTATGACAAAAAACGAGGCTGTCAAAAGAAAGTGAATGTCACAAAAGTAAAAGAAAGTGGAAAAGGACAGTATTTCTCTTTTGTTGAAGATAACTGCACATTTACCAGAAATAATTTTGTCACTTTGAAAACACTACAAGTCTGTGTTCTACATCAAGTCCATTGCCTGTGTGGACAGTGGACTTGGCTTGAGCCAAAGGCAGGACGCCACACTCACTACTTACCTGAGAATCAGATATTTCAGAAGGCTTTTCAGTCAGACTGCTGCTCTCTGCAGGGATCAGGTCATTATACTTTGTGCTGACATCTTCGTCTGAATAGTGGAGACTGCCAGGACTGGGTCTGGGAGGAGATCTGAACAAGTGGAGAAGAAGCAGAAACAGAAGACTTTGTGTGAGTTAAACCCAGAGTGAAACATAAAAAACTACAGGATGATCATCACATCTTTTCACTTCACAAATCAAATAGGAGCTCTCATGTTTTGGTGCACACATGGAGAAAAAAAATCCATAGTTATAAAATAGTTATTTAGAAAATATTTTCAAAAATCTGAGGAGAATGTGGCACAGAAATCAGAAAGGATCTCATTCTTTTGCTTTGTCTCTCTAATCAGGGTCAGATGAGAGAAGACAGAAGGTGAAAAACCATCAAACTTTATTAATTTCATGATACAAAAACAACCTTATTAAAAAAATAAAAATATTTCCCCCTTTGTAAAAGGCATCATTGTGTAGAATGAGATTTCTACACAATCTAAGGAAGAGCCGGGTAACTAAATTCAAGTTTTTATTTGAGCGCCGAGTCAAGTAAAAAATACAAAACGCCAGCTTCTCTTTTCTCCACTGATTAAGTCCATGAAGTGAAGCAGAGAAAAAATGTGCGCAGACAATATTTTTTTGTTCTTTTGAGGTAATCACTGCTGCTGTGTTCAAGGTCTGCTGAGGCCGAAATGGATGGTCAGAGAGCCAAAATAGGATTGCTACCTTCACATCACTGAGCCACATAACTGGACGCAAATGCACGAATAAAGTTAATGCAGCATTAAGACGAGAGGCTGCTTTAAAAAAAAAAAGATGAAAGAATGGAAGCAAATGGAAAACACTGTGTAGGGGCAGAGCAGGCAAGCAGAAACTGCTGTGATGTCAACCTTAGTATCAAGGCAAAAAGCATACAACCCTGAAAACCTGTGGAATATAAATGAATATGTATTCAGATGTACAAGAGGAAGCTTCAAGGACAGCAATGATGGAGTTGGCACAACAAACAGAAGCATATGTCATTCAGGTTAAAGGGGATAATGTGACAGGGTGGACTGGCATTTACACACCGTCGAGTCGGAGATTACAAGGATGTGGCCGTGTGAGTCTAGAGGAGGATGGATCTGATCCTGATGTTTTGAATTATTTAGTAGCACTGTTTTCTCCCCTTCGCCTTATCTGTCTAATTTATCCTTCTCTCCCTCATCCTTTCAAACATCCCATTGGGAGCCGTCCCACACTTCCTCCTTCATTAGCAAACAGTGCGGAACCAGATTTGACTTCTTCAAAGAGATGGAACTACTCAAGACTCTTTGATCCACATCTTGGCCTTATTGGTCAAGGAGAGCACAGCAGATTAACTCGCCTTTTAGTGCACCCCCAGCACATTCCAACATATTGTGTGAAAAAAAGGCTCTTTTTAGTTCCGTGACATATTGGAAAAGACTGATCATCTATTGGGCGGCTGTCTCAATAAATCGTTTGTGAAAATTCTCTCATCTAATATTCACCTAAACATTACAAAAAAAGCAGTCCACCAAAGTCATGCTGACAGCACTTTATGTTGCAGATCTCACTGTGCTGTAATCCAGGCTCCCGGCCAAAAAAACCAGCCAGCTCCGACCCATAAGCTCTCTTTGTCTAAAGCGGAGATGGACAAACAAAGACAACAGGCAGACACTTGTGAATACTAATCAGCTGGTATTGTGCTGTCCCCTTATATAGATTGTTGCTTCCACAAACACTGAATATGAACAAGGTGAAAGGAAGGAGGCTCAAATCAGCAGCTCTCTCAAGACTAACAAAACATAATGCCTCATTTGTAATTCTTGTCAGTCTTATAAGTAAGACACAGAAACCAGAGGAGGACGCAGACAAAATAGTTAAGGAATTTACATAAAAAATGGATAGCAGAAAGTGAATGCAACATTGAGCTAAATATCACAACAGCCATCGCTACTGATGGCATGGGTACAATGAAGTTGGCCCACCGAGTGTAGATGCCATTTTTGCGGCAGAATGAATTTTTAACAGAGAGTCGTCTGTTGTTTAGCTCCAGTGCTGGGAAGCGTCCCTCATCCAGGCGCACCATCTCCCCATGTGTCAGAGGCATGGCAGTGCAGCTCGAGTGGTTCCCTGAACAGAGGCAGAAAGATGATTTTTTAAAAATGTTTTTATTGAAATGACTGAAGGGAAACTGCCCATGTCTGAACAGCCCCTCTCGCTTTTGTATTTTGGAAACATCAGAAGGACAATGGCTACTTTCATTCCCCAGGTTTCACTCAGTCATGTCTCCTGTCTCTTGCCCTCTTCTTGACTATTTCTCCTTGCTGACAGCCAAATCAACACTTCTCCACTCCAACTCCTTAAATAAATCAAACACGACTAGATACTACCCACAAGCCTAATAAATCACAACATTTGGTTTGTTTAAGAGACTTAAATATTCTGCTCACCCGTGTCTCAACTGTAATCCTGTGTACACCACTAAACACCATGTGACAGTGCCTCAACATAAAAAACACAACAAATCAACTATGGATCCACAGTTTTAAGGATAACTTACGATATAAGAATATTGGTATTTATCTGACCAGCAGATTTAAACCTGATAAATAGGTTTAATGTAAATTCTAATGATCACAATGATCTACTCTGATCAAGGTAAGCGCAACAAAACTACAAAATACTTAAAATTAACTTCTGTCATCTTGCAGCTAGATGACAAGACCTATCAAAAAGCTGTGGATGCTCATATGGATGCTTACCAACTAAAGTTAATTGACACTCACAATAAAAGTCCACTAACACGGATAAACATGCTCCTCTGTGACATGAGTTTCTGACGGAGTGGCTTCAAGTGAGATAACTGACAATCTCGCAAATTGGCTCCTTGACATAGTTGTATAGAGGCCAGTAGTGCTGTCATTAAATAATTACTCTCAGTGTAATTAATGACCCCGGCATTAAACCCCTGCCAAGTCATTTGTCCTGCTATTGATCCTCGCTGCGGTTCAACTCGGACAATAATATTTGTCTTTTTCAGCTGCTTTACCAATAACCTTTACTCTCATCTCTCCCCTGTCAGCCAGACAATGTGGGAAAATCGAGATCATTTGTTTAATTGTGTGAGCCTTCACACTCTTATTCTACAAAATAGACTGTAGATGCACAATCATTAAAATTCAATTCTTTACCCACTGGTCCGAGCAGAAAACAGATCCCACATGACAGCTTCTGCTTCACAAATACACTGACTGTGATCTTATCAGTGTTTGGCAAGCGGTCGCTTTTTCGTACCTGAGTCTGCCTTTTTGGTGTATTTTTTACTCTGGCCGCGTATTATGAGGATGAAAACAAGTAAGAGGATGAAGATGAGGCCAACCAAAGCAATAACAACCAAGAACCACCACTCCTCGTAGAAGGGAGACACTTTCTGGGCTGAAAACATAAAAAAAACAAGAGGTATTAATATAATTGATGGTCATGGGCTATAATTAAAGCAAATTTGCACAGAATTCTTAATCTCAAAACAAAAATCAACCTGATATCGAGGGAGAGGGAGCGCTAGGTGAGCCATAGCCGTAATCATTGACAGCTATTACTCGAAAATCATAGGTGATGCCTTCTTTCAACATGTCCAGATTAAGTGTGTAGGAAGTCACTTCTTTGGGAATGTCTTTGATAAGAATATCCCACAGTCCTTCATCTGGGGACAAAAAAGAAGAAATTGGACACCTAAAAATGTTGTATGTCGCACAAAATCTGGGGCAGAGAAGCTAAAGGATCTGGATCTTACCAGATGGTCTGGCCTCGATGACGTATCTGGTGATGGGTGCGCGACCTTGGTCCCCACTTGTCCAATGCAGTGTAAGAGCAGCGCCATATCGGGAAATAAAGGGTTCCCCAGGGGGGCCTGGGGCTCCTTGGGATGACAAAAAGGGTGCATATTTTAAAAATGTATACAAACGCCCTCCTTAATTATAATACCCGCATAAGAAAAAACTAGAGGGTACTTAGAAAATCTCACCTTCTCCAGGGCCAGTCGTGATGTTAGCCTCCACCTCAGGGCCGTAGGTGAGCGTTTTAGACCGGATGCGAAAGTTATAGGTGACGCCATCAGCCAGGTCCTTGATCTTCATCCACAAAGGAGCGCTGCCTTTCACATCTACAGTCACTATCTTACTGACACCTGGAGTGCGAGGAGAGGAGTCTGTACAGGAAACACTAAGACTCTAGGTATTGCTTTCTACAAGCGACAAATATCCAAGCTTTGCACACAAAACAACACGTAAAGATTATGCCACTTTAAACAGAACTTGTTTTCTATTCCAGCAGCCAGTAGTTGCCTAGACAGAAATATAGCAATTGATATTTAATGTGTTTACTGCTATGTTCTTTTGACACTGGGTCTGTTAGCGCATAGCCAAGGGACCACAGCAGCCTCAGATCAGTATTCCACCTCTGCTCCCAATTACTTGACAATATGGTCAAGGCAAGAACACTTAGCCAGCTATTAAAAATGTTTCTCTCAATGAAAGTGGAAGCCGTGCATAGTCTCACAAGAGCGTTCCAGCATAGTTTATCAGCCTTGCCATTTATGTTACTGCAGGGCCTACATCCATCTGTAACAAATTAGAGCACAAGCTTAAACAGCGTGAGTTAAAAAAGAATAGAGTTGCCAGGCTAGAGGTTGTATATCACTGTCTGACAAAGGCAGCTGCAGAATATCAAGAGACAGCAGAGTCAGTAGGCTGCAGGCACGGTTTCTCACCGTCGATTGGAGTGCAGGGCTCGTAAACCAGGCGGTAACCTTCAATGATACCATTGGCCTGTCTGGGCTCTCCCCAGGACACGTTGACAGAGGTGGTGGTCAGCTCACTGAAGTGGATGTAGCTGGGAGCACTTGGAGCTTTAGGTGAAAAAAAGGGCAGAACAGTTTTTCATTTTTTCTTATTGAGACAAAACACTCCAAAAAAGCCTCCCAGCCCCAGAACCGTCAAGTATTGACCTGAATGTATTTCTGATTTCTTTACATCAAAATCAAAAGAAAGTCATCTCAGTTGTTACTTTGCTTCAAGCTTAATAGGAGTCTGAAACTATTTAAAAAACAAACTATTTTCCAGATGAGGAATACAGTGAAAAAAGCTATCCCATGTTTCATTGGTAATTTGTCATCACCAAAAAACTAAAACCGTTTGTAAATGGCAAACGAAGGATTTTTAAAAATCAAAATAACAATAAACAGTCTGAGTCTGTAACTTGTTAAATACACACAAAAGTGTCCAAAGGCGCTAAGTGACCTTGAGCTAAATCTGCAAGGATTCTTCCCACTGATCCGACTCAGGTGCAGCTGAGTGTCAGGATTTAGTCACAATCCTGCTTAAATTCTGCTGTGTTGGCTCACTTCCCATTACCATACAATGTAAAAAGCCAAAAATGTCTGCTTCTGTTTTTTTAAGTTTAAGGATTTCGTACCATTTTCCAATGTCAGGGGGGCAGAAAAACAGAAACATTTATATTGTGAACCATTTTATATCTGAAACCACAGAGGGGGAACTCTCACTAGCTTGTAAACACAGACTTCTTTGTGCAGCCATGGGAAAAAAAACCCCCAAAACAAATCTAATTGTAATTAGACTCCAACCTCATGGATTGTAATGAAAACTATCTAAAAAGGTTTGATTTTTTGTTGAATGTAAGGCACAGACAATATCTTGTAAGTCTGAAAGCTAAAGTGTCAGTTATTGTTTACTTTTCAGTTTCATGGTGATTTAAGACAGAAATATTGTCAATTATTGTCATCTTAGTAAATGAAGGAAAGATTAGCTTTCATGCATCCCTCTTCAAAAACAAATAATAAAATAATCATCCTAGTTCTGACAGCAATAAAAGGCTACAAGGTAAGTGCCACTGGTTGTTTGTGGGAGGTCTGGGTTTTGCACCTGCTTGCTGAGTGCGCCCTCTGGTGGGAAGGGAGCGGGGCCCATCCCCTGCAGCATTAAAAGCTGCCACACAGATCATGTAGGTGGTGTAGCCTGTGAGGTTTTTAATCTTCACCCCTAGCTCTGGCAGGAACAGCGTGCGCAGGCGCTCTGTCTCATTCTGGAGCTGAAACTCCCAGAAATATATCTATAAACACAATCACAAAAAAAAGATGTCGAATTCATACCATTTAAAGATAAATTGTATAAATATAAAAGGTATGATTTCAGCTCAGTTTGAGTTTTTGTAACATATAAAAAATGTAGATAATTGATACCTTATATCCCTGTATGTCTCCATTCTGAGCATCCAGAGGAGGTGGGTCCCATGTGACATCCAGCTGAGTGGCTGTGGAAGACTGGACCACCACATTTTGGGGAGAGGCTGTTGGGACTACAATCAGAAAAAGTTAGATGTGTTTTTCAAAAAGCCATTGAATGAGGAGTAATTATCGTGATAAAAGAAATATACCTGCTTCTCCGACAAACACTTCCTGTGGTGCACTGGTAGGACCCTCCCCTACAGCGTTATAAACACTGAGACGAATCTCATAGCGTTTGTGTTTACTCAAATCTGTAAGGAGGAAATTCACAGCTGCATCATTACAGAATAATTACAGTGTAAGAGCAAAGCGAAAAGAATTCTGTTCAGTTCATGATAAAATCATAAACTGAATGGAAAAGATTGACGGTTAGAATTTGAATGCAAACGGATGAAAAGAAGAGGTCGTGGTAGAGACACATGGAGGGAATTTTCATATGATTACAGAATGGAAAACATGCTTGAGGAACACACACACACAATGAAAATATGTGCTGGCTACTCAGTGTCAACAGCTGAGTGGGAGGATGGATTAAATTATCATGCAAATGCATACAATTGTGAAATTAAAATCCATCACATGATAAGCAGAAAGAGTCATAGAGGAGAGGCACAAAGGGAGACTAAAGACTTACTGTCCAGTTCATACTGTGTTAGAGAGGATTCACTCAAGTTTCTGATGCTGTATGGAGCTGGAGTTGGGATAGAACGTAAGTCATAAAATTGAAAAAAGAAATTGGGTAATAACACCAAAAATAATTGGTTGTAATGCAAGCATGCAAAAAAAAAAAAAGCAGCAGCAACACAAGACTCAATAGTTAATCGGTTAACTCACCTGTGAGGTCAGCCCAGTTTGCAGAGGGACTGTTTACTGTGCGCACAGAAAAGCTGCGCAGTCTGTCATAGTGCAACTCACGGTATCGGACCCGGAACCCCAACAAGACTCCATTTATATGATCCTCAGAAGGGGGCTGGGGAACACAAGCACTATTTAGCAAAATTTGCCACAATCCACAATTTTTGCCAACAAATTCCACATTCATCATTCTTCCATTCACAAAACAGAGCGCCAAGTCATTCAGTAATGTACCTGCCAACGGACCAGTACAGATGTGGTGGTGTGAGGTGTGACAGACAGTATTGTTGGAGCTTTGTCTGGTGCTAAAACAAATGTTAAGAGGAAAAAATGGTGTTAGCATGTCAACATTGCTGTATACAATAATGCAATCCAACTAGTGGTAAAGATTAGCTTGAGAGAAAATGTGCACACAGTTATGGCGTGAATTCAGAATTTAATTTAATTTCAAAGTCTGACCATGAATGTTAAAGTCCACAGCTGGAACAGGCTCTCAGAAAAGTTAAAAGTCAAATATCTTGAGTCTAAAATACGTGGCTATGTGTTTAATTCATTTCTGTTTGCAGACATCACAACTTCTTACCATCCTGCAGGGTGGTGATGGCCTCACTCTCCTCACTGTACTCACTGTCTCCAATATCATTGGTGGCTTTAACGCGGAACTGATAAGAGGTGAATGGCTTTAACCTTAAAGGGGAGGGAAAGCAGTGCCTGTAAGCGCGTGTGTGGATTTACATGGATGTAAATCTAACATGCAGAGACATCCTTGCAACCACCTGTCTACTATGTAGGAGTGTGTCTCATGGCTGACTGAAGCGGAGTGGACAGTCCAGTTGCTATCTGGGAGCTCTTTGTACTGAACTGTATAGTAGCGAACTGGAGACAGGCCGTCGCTGCCTGGTTCCCATGACAACAGTACTCTGCGAGCCTGGACCTCTTCTTGAGGCACTGTGGGACGGCTCGTGGGTTGAGGTCGAGCTGAAGGGCGCACACACACACACAAACGTTCCCTCTTGAGCTCAATTTTTAGAGGTGAATAATTCAGAAAACACCTTTGAGCCGCAGCATTTTACACTCACCCCTCTTCTCTGTTGTGACAACAAGGGCCTCAGCAGCCTCCCCCCAACCTTTCCGTGTTTGAGCGGTGAGTCGGAATACATAAACCATTTCTGGCTTCAGTCCTGTTGTTGTGTACTGCCGTGCGCTGGGGCTCAGCACATCTACAGTGGCGCTGTTGCTGTTTGAGGAGTTTCTTCTAAATGTGATCTGATACGCTGAGACGATCAAGTCACAAAAATTACAAAGATGTAAATATATTAAACAAAATTGATTTTGCAATACATCTAATGAAAGCCTATTTTCCTAATCACATTTAAATTGAGTGTCACTTTTCTCTCTCTTATATAAATTTCAGCTAACTTTAACCATATAGCTAATTTAACTTCAAATATGTATATTTTTACAGTAACTTATTTTTCTTTGTCTTAATATCACACATCCATTATATGGGGCGTATTTTCTCTTCCTCTTGAAACGTGCTACAGAACTGAAAAGTTCAATTTCTTTTTCCTGATAAGCCACTGTAAACCTACCCAGTATAATGCCATTGGGCTGCGCTGGAGGTTGCCAGATGAGCCTGACCGAGGTGGTTCTGACTTCTGGAAACAAGATGCCTACTGGAGGCCCTGGCACTGTTACATATAGATAGACAAACTACCGGTCAAAATCAGGTAAGAAAAGAAAATTGCAACAATCTAGCTCCAACCTACAGAATAATAAACATCTCATTTATTTGTGGGAGGCATTACTTGATACAAATTAGAAAATGCTTACATATCATTGACCCGTAACAGCATGATTGAACAGTAAAATGAATGATTACCATCATCCAAGGTCCTCTCAAGAATGGGAGGTGAGCTGCTCCTTCCATCTCCTATACGTGTGAAGGCTAGGACCTGGATCTCATAAAGGACGTATTTGCCGAGACCGCTCAGCTGCACGCTGTGAGTAGTGTTGCCCTCAACCATCCAGAAGTTGGGCATTGTGTCCGAATCTTTCTCCTTATACACAACCTAAAAGATGAGGGGGACTATGTAAAGCCGTATGACTGTAAAAACTGTTACCTGGTATCAAATTAACACATTGATGGATGAATGTGATTCTGGAATATGGATCTCTGTGGAGCTGTGACCTTATAGCCCAGAATGAGTCCATTGCGGTCCGTTTCCTGGACCTCTCCCCAGCGAACGAGGATGCTGCTGGAGGTGGTGGCAAATGCCGACACGTTGCTGGGACCGCTGGAGGGCACTGCAGCAGGAAAGCCACAATTATCAGAGCAATTCCAGAATATCTGTAGGATTTCATGTTGGGTTTCTTCCTTACCAGACTCCCTGGTCCTGCCATGGACAACCTGACCCCACGGTCCAGAGCCAATTCCGTTGATGACCTGGACTCTGACCTCATACTCCATCCACTCTTCCAAGTCCTCGATTGTGAATTCTCTCTCCAGACGGTCCATGATGGTGTGAGACAGAACAGACCCTTTGGTTCCAGCTTTGGAGTATTGGATGCGGTAACCAACAAGATCTGGATTGCCATTGTACTCCCACTCTGGAAGAGGCTAAAAGGATATTTTCATTGATTAAATCCCCACCTTCTACCACTATAAGTATCTCTCATATAATAATCATGAGACAGACTAATGAAGCAAACACTAAGAGAGGCTGCACTTTACAGCCTGAGAATAGTACCATAATCCCAGGATCTAAAATGTGTCCTTTATCAGGCCCCAAGTTATATCATATAATGAACTTACTTTCAAAATAGTGCTTTTCTTTAATTTAATACAGTCTTGATTCCCTCTATAACTTAAATGCATCAAGCTCAAATTGACAATTTGAGATCCAGCTTTCAGGGAAGGCAACAATCCTTGTGCTATTTCATCAATTTGTGGAATCGCATTGCTGACTCCTCTCTGTTTTTAAATCCAGGTATATCCTCTCTTTTTAATCTTTCCCGGACTTCATGGATATCTCATGCCTGTGTGACTCAGTGCTCAGGCGCTGGCATACCGATGATAATAGACAGATGTGGAAAAGAATACACTGGCCAAATGCTGACGCAGAAAGCAGTAATAACCAAGGACACAGCGTGTCCAGTTTTCCAAAGCCTCATCAGCACTGTTGCCGAGATTCATTTATCACATAAAATCCCCAAGTGAAAGGAAAAGACAACATTTAACCAAAGCGAGGGATGCTTTTAAGGGAGTTCATTCAACAGAAGCTGTCACTGTCAAAGTCATTTTGTGTCAAACCTGATCATCTTAATTAATTTCAAAAAGCTTATACCGTAACTCAAGGGCATTCTGCCATCTCATTCTTGTCCTGTCATTATTTCACAGTAAGCGCACGAGAAAGAAGGTGATAATGGTGTTTCTGCTCACAAAAATTAAGTGGCCTTCTTTCAAAATTCATAAAAGCAGTTCATGATTGAATGAACGAACTAACTTCGTGTTGTCTGTATCAGGAACAGAATCCAGTCCAGAGTGACATCTTACCACCCAGCGAAGCCACAGGCTGGTCTCACTTGCTGTGCGAAGGGTAACATTTGCCGGGGAAATGTCAGGCGGTGCCTGCAGGGTCTGGATCTTTCTGGATGGCTGACTGGGAGGACTGGTGCCTACAATGTTGACCTGACGCATCCTGAACCTTAGATAACAGAGCCCAACAAATTATCAAAATGGCTGAGAGATTTTTCAAATGAGATAAGATTAAAATTAGGTGGTATCCAAAAGGAAAGCCAGTCATTGTTTACAGTGGTTGGTGTATGTGTAAGTTCACCTGTAAAACGTATAAGGGTTCAGGTCTAAGACCTCAAGGGATCTAGCATCTGGTTCATTAGCCAGCTGCTGTACCATTAGCCACTCTTCATTCTCTCCAATTATACCAATCTAAAATACACACCAAAATGACAGGGTATAAATAGTTACACAAATAAAACAAATAGGCAAATGGAACATATCAATATGAAGACACCTAACAACAAACATATGTAAAAATAGGACTAAATCCTGTTACCTGAGCTTCAACCTGCCAACGAGAAATAGATGTCTTGCCATCATAACCAGGTTTGAACTGCAGAGTTACAGAGCGAGGGCCGATGTTAGAGACAGCTAAATTGGTAGGAGGACCAGGCAGTTCTGTACAACAGAAATGACAAAAAATGACTCCCAAATCATCACATCTTTTAGAGTTTGCAGCACAAGAAAGTTCACTCAGAGAAGAAGAGAGCACTTTTTGGGCTAAATGGGATTTTCAAATAAACTCTCATCTTAGTTCACTCACCTGGAGGTACGCCAGAGGAAATGGTGGAAGAGGAAAGCTGTCCCTGGCCTTTGGAAGTCATAGCTGCCACCTGAATAGTGTAAGTAGTGAGGGCAGTGAGCCCTGTAACCTTGTACTCCTGAGTGACGTTGGGTAAATAATGGGTCACTCTTGTATTGGTCCTGTTGAACTCCTCCCAGGATATCCGATAACCTGAAAAAAGTGGTAACCAAACATGGTATACAGATCCTATGGTAAACAGATCCTAATCATGATCTAGAATCTGAATGATATTGACATGCCACCAATACATGACTTTATCTTTAAACTCACCTGTCAGAACTCCATTTTTCTCTTGTGGCTCCTTCCAGCTGACTTTAAGTGAGGTGTCCAAGATGTCGGTGAAACTAAGGTGTCCCACAGCACCTGGAGCTAAAGGAAGACCAAAACAGTTAGGGGACCGAATAACTCCCTGGTCAATGATTATCTAAAATACTGTCTGATGTCTTGCAAATGAATACATACTATCTTCATGGGTGCGTGAACGCTGAGGAGGACTTCGGGGGCCATCTCCAGGGGTGGTGAAGCAAAGCACCGAAGTAAAGTACTCTGTGAATTTTTTTAGGCCAGAGATGTACCCGACGTGAACACTGTCCTGGAAGTTGGGCCGCACTGTAACCATAGTGACCTCGTTCGCACGACCGGGTTCCCATGCCAAGAGCTGGAGATTTAGCAATAGTGGTTATTGGCATTTACATGAACTTTTCAGACAGACACAATCCATGCATGTGTTGAGAATAAACTGAATCTTTTCAGGACTATTGGGCCAGTCATGCACTTAGCAGATGGAACTTTGGGCAGAACAAGTCTGTTGATGCTGGTCTTAATGTGGCCTGCCCTTCTGCCACCAACCACTAGAGTGCACTAGTTGACAGAATGGAGCTTCTCACCTTATATCCCTGGTTGATTCCATTGATAAACTGGGGGCTTGGAGCACTCCAGGTAAAACGCACAGTGGTGGAGTTGACAGCCTCTGCTTGTACATTTCCTGGTGGCACAGTGGGCACTGATCCAGAGGTGAGAAGGAAAGAGATAACATCAAGAGACACAGGGATAGAGAGGGATTAGACAAGAAATGGGGAGTGAGCGAGACAGACAAGCAAAAGAAGAAAGAAAAAAACCGAACAGTGATGAGATTGGGTGGAAAGACCTTGAAATCTACAAGTGGTGCCTTTAGACTAGCATCATTTGGGGCGTGTGAATCAGGCTGAAGGAACTTGTATTGTGGCTCATTTGAGGAGGTAAGAAATGCCAATCAAACAGGGTGTGAGAGTGGTTGCCTCAGGCGGCTTCCAGGTAAACCCTGCAGCAATTTGTTTGAAGTCAGCATGCCATTCTGATGTAACACCAGAAACTGTTAGGGACTTGTAAATTAATGACACTGATGGACCCATATTGGTCCTCATGTCACTGTGCCCCCATAAATCCTTTTGAATATATTTAAAAGAACCCAACAGCTCTTGTGTATTGTGCATGCAATGGAGAGAATGATGGAAAAAATCCAATTAATGGGAGCTGAACAAAAACAACATGAATGCCTTTCTCACAGACGATATCCATGACAGTGACTTAGATGATGAAATTATTATTTATATTTTGCAGGGAAGGTGAAATGGAATTAAAATTTTGATGTTTGCAATACCTTCTAAGTCTTATAGCTTTACTAATTAAACACACCAATCTTGTTCTTCAGAAATGTGGTACATTTGTGCATTCGAGGCAGAACTGAATCTGACTGATGTGAATCACCAACTGACTAATTAATTAGGCATCAACCAACGTGTGCTGAAGTTTCCAAGGTTTTAATGATTATGAGTGCCAGATAGACGTCATAATTTCTGGGGCATGTGAAGCATTTTATAATCAACTGGCCATGAGAAAGTGATAAATGCATGCCATTCTTTTTCAAACTCAGGCACACACCGTGCCACACAGAGCACAAATTGAATATGCTCATACCAAGAGTTACACAGTGTTGTTCAAATGAAACAGCATCCCTACAGCAATAGTTGTGAAATGTAAAGAATGCACCTAAATACTTTAAGTATGAATTAATTACTTTTGTAAATATTTTTGAAAGGTTTTGAAAAGCTTGCTGATCCATTTTTTCTACCAAAAGCATATATGAACCTTTCACTCTTGCGACTACTTGGTTACTTGACATCATGTTCCTGTGAGTAATATCCTCAGATATGTAACTTCCTGTTGCCATTAGGGAAAAAGGTCATTCATTTTTCCAAAGAGCTGTTTCTCTTTTTGTTGCAGTTTAAATGTGTACTGATCACGGTTTCAGTGTTATAGAGGTTAAACAGCAATACATAACTCCAAAATTTATGAATGATTTATTAATGAAATCCATTATGTATTTTTGAACATCTCTTCCAGAAATCTTTTCAAGCAGTTCATGTTATATACAAACCTAATTATCCACACATCCATCCATTGTTTTCTACTTATGCAGGTTAAGCTTTTGGAGTCTAAGAGAGGAACTCAGGCAATACTGGTGTCAGTGTCCAGCTCCTCCTGGGGCTGTTCCTAGAACACGTGAGGTACATTATACCTCCAGTGTGGTCGTTTGTTCTCTGGGGCATCATCCCAGTTGAACATGACCGCTGAATCTTAAAAGGTAGGCAACCAAGATTCATGCTAATCAGAAACCCGAACCGCATACGCTGACTGCTTTTGATACAGACCAGCAGCAGCAGCAGCAGCTCCACTCACAGATCCCTCGGGATGGTCAAGCTCTTCGCTCCAACTCAAAGGCTGAACTCAACCCTCCCCTGACAGCAACACATTGAATCCTCGTCATCACTCTTTTTTTCACGGGCTTCTTCTTGATGTTTTGCGTCTCATCTGAAAGGCTTCTTCAGCTCTAAACTACACGATGGGGAGTGTTTATAAGCAGAAACAGTCTGAGCCCCTGGAAAAATGCGTCGTTAGAGTCACCTGTAGATTATCCGTCTAAGCTGAATTTCATTCACAGGGTCCAAGGTGTGACTTGCTATGAAACTGATTATGGAGGAGGGATAATGCTGCAATGTAAATACTTGAGACCCCCTCATTTATAGATGTCTTCCTTTGCTCCTTCCTAAAACCACCTGTCTCCTCTGTTCAGAATGTGTACATTACTGTCTTCAAAAGGGTTTTCTCTATCCATGGATGGAGGTGAACTGCTTAGTCTAGCCTGAAGTCTTGGCTCTCCTGTGCGGTGCCATGTGCTCGTGGAGCTGTTGTTTGGTCTCTCAGATCATAGCGGAGGCTTGGAACAAGGATGGACGAGTAAATCTACAGCTTTGCCCTTTGGCTCAGCTCCCTCTTCACCAAAACTCGAGTAGAACCCTCATTACTGCTGACAAAGCCCCAATCCATGTGTCCATATGTCACTCCAACTTTCTATCAGTCCAAACAAGATGCTGATCAACTTAAACTCCTCTGCCTGAAGCCTTCAGGGAGCCAACTTTTCCCAGTTGAGGACCATGGCCTCCGATTCAGAAAAGATGAGTTTCTACACGGCCAATTCCCCCCCAGCTGCAAAGCAATGACCTCAAAGGTCCTGACTTCATATTGGCACAAAAATGAAATAACAGATAAAAGAATCTGACATCTGCAGACAATCCTAAAGTAGAGCCTGGGTTTCTACCCAGGTACAGTGTTTGACTCTAATCATGTGTGCTGCTCTCACCTCCTTGCAGCGTCCACTCTGTGACTTTGTGGCTGTAGGTGCCTCTTCCTGCTCCATTGTAGGCAGCCACTTCAATCTCATAGTTGGTCCAGATGATGAGGTCCTCCAGGAGGATACTGGTCTGGTCTGGATTGGTAATGTTTTTCATCTGACAATCGACTGGAAGCCCTGACAGACAATACCTGCCAGCAGTGTCAGTAATTGACAGAGAAAGAGAGATACAGGAAGACAGGAACATTATGTACACTCAATGCTATTAGTACACCAATTCTCAGAAAAAAACGAACGGAATGCAGAGGAGTAATGGGAAAAAAATTAAGCAGAACAGTTATGAATTGGGTACAAAACAAGAGGCGACAACAGATTAATATTGTGGAAGCGATTTAATTGGCACAAGTTATTCCGCAGCAGTGAGCATGACTGGGGTAAAATGGACTCAAAGAAAACCAGCTGACATAGCAGTTATTGTCAGATCTGAATAGGATACCCTGGACAGGCACCAGTCCCTGGGTTAGGAAATAAATAAATAGCAGAACTGGCAGGCTGTCAAGGTCTTCTTACCTGATGATGTAGCCCTGGAGAGGACCATTCTGGTGAGTTTCTGGAGGGGGCTGCCACTGGATCATGATGGACTGATTAGTGCGGCCGCTTGCGATGACTGTCTGAGGGGGCGCACTGGGCGGCTCCTCTGGGAGAGTTAGTCTACCGCATCAAGAAAAAGTGAAAGGGAGGTAAAAGAAGAGACAAAGAGTGAAGTCATGCATTAATTATCAGTAGTTTCTGCTATTTCCATCCCATTTCATCATGGATATCAAATCACGATTAAGCCCTTCTTTTGCATTTTTTAGCAAACCATAAAGGAAAGTTGGGGTGAATGTGGTTGTGTCTTTCCTCAAAATATAGTCTCTATTCAACCGACTGCAAAGGGACAGCACGCTGTGGCAGAGAAAAGATCAAAGAGCCCTTGGTGAAAATGAAGCTACGCAGTGGAGGGACTGTGCAACAGGGAGAAAGATATAAAAGAACAAGAAAGAGAGATCCAGGAAGTATTTTCCCTTAAGTCAATTTAAGATGACATCTTGATTTCTTTCCAACATTCCAAAGCACCCCTCTGGAGGAGATAAAGCAGAGTGTTTAGGATCAAAGTGGTGTGCCTAAGAGATGCCTCAGAAAGGCCTTGCTTTCACTGACACATAGTCACCCTCCTATGGTGAACTCTTGTCTGGCCAGATTCACAGAGGAATGCAGAGAATGAACGTGCCGTGAAAGGTCTGCATCTTGTTGTTGCTTTAATTTTGAAACAGTTTCTTGTTTCAGGTGTGGAAGAAGCACACAATGCAGATAAGGTCAAACATAAGTGTTTACGGAGAATCGGGTGATGACCTCAGTGCTGCTGCATGGATGATTATGCATCCTGTGTTATGGAATCCTTGATTGCACACTCGTGGTAGCCACTCACAACAGGTACGACAAGGCTATGAAAATCCGTCAGTTGCCTCTCTTCTTTTAGAACAATATTATATTGTTCATGTACTTCAGTCATGAAGCAGCACAAATACAGTTAATATGAAGGTAAGAGATTAAGTATTCATCAAACACAGGTCATTCAGATTCTTCAATTAATAGGAAAGTCCAAAAAGTGGACCCATGACAATTTTCGCAGAAATTTCATGATGATGGAGCCTCCAAAAACAAAAAAAGAGCACTTCTTTAAAAAATTTTTTTTTTTACAAAGGTATAAAGCCAACAAACATATTTTTAACAACACAGTATACTGAGCAGATAAGTACAGCACCCACCGATCTGTCTCCTTACTGAACTGGCCTCTGCCGACGTCGTTGACCGCACACAGACGGAACTGGTAGGAACGTGCTGGGATGAGGCCGCTGACAGTGACCCCAGTAGACTCAGGCTCAATGTTAGCTAGAAGCACCGTCCAAGGGGCATCTAAAAAGAGAGGGGACACACGCAAAGATACAGCTTTGAACACCAGCTATCATTATTTAAAGGTCTAGTGAAGACAAAGATCTCTTCGATCCAGGCCACCTCAAATCTAAACTCGAAAAATTTCTGTCTAATATTGCAGAAACTAATAAACCAAGTCATCTTTTTTGCATACACTCCCTCTTAAATATCAGACTGCAATTCACTTATCCAAAACCCAGATCCCATCTGAATCTTCAGATTCATTTTCAATTCATGAGCTGTCATATTTTCAGTTACCCTGAGCTAAAATAACAAATAGTTAAGCAGTTTCACAATTTTGAGCAATATTTATTTGCTTTTGTCCAGTTAAATAGAAGAAGATTGGAAAGCGACAAAATCTGGTTCACTGGATCTATTGTGAGAAAGGACACAAAGGTATCACTGTAAAACATCATATAAATAAGCCTTTAAAATTTCCTACAGGACACGCTAATAAAGATATTGTTGTACATGCAAACACTCACTATTTTCTGAGACCTCCAAAATGTAACGGATCAGGGGGCTGTTTCCATCAAAAGCCTGGGCCCATGTCAGGTTGATGGCCCTCTTTTCTGTGGTGCTCAGCAGTGCTATGGGGTTCTCGGGAGCATGCGGCAGTTGCCTGTAAGTTATATATAAAAATGAATAGTTAAACGAATTTGTCACGGACAGAAAAACACAATAAGACAAGAGAGGTGCCAAATAATCAAACTACACAGCAAATATAAGAAGCATTTGATCGATTACAAAAGGAGAGCAATGCTAAACCACAACAGTGGAGGAAAAATCCATCCATCTTTTCCTTGTCACTGTCACACTTAAAAAGGGAAGAGCAAACAGCGCAGACAGCCAGATAAGACAGGGGAAGATGTGAGGCAAACGCTCAGACCTGACTCGGAGGTGGGCACTGTGGGAGTCGTTGCCTCCCACTGAGGTCACCCTGCAGGTGTATGTACCGATGTCCCCTGACCACGTCTGGGAGATGTGCAAGGTTCCGTCGGGATCCAGACGCAGGCGGGGCGATGAGTTCACGTCAATCACCGAGCCACTCTTCTCCCACACGTACCTGAAGGCATGTGCGTGAGTCTGTGAGTGTGTCACTCACATACAAACAGCAAACCGGTGTACACACACATGCCCAAACCAACAAACAACTTTTTTACTTTGGCATGTTTGCAACAGTAAATCTGTTTGCCTGGTGTCAGTTCATATGCCAAAAACAGAGGCTGCTCACGCCGATGAAAGGCCTTGTGAGGCAGATAACAAAGTGATTTGAATCTGAAAAGCATCTGTATCTGACACACAGTATAGGACTTATCATCCACACGTACACACTGTACACTTACCTTCACATATGATCATTCATAAACCTGCACATAGCAATGCCCAGACTAGGAGTTTCCATGATTAATTGATACTGTTCTGGCTCTCCGGCTAATCTCCTCTGTGTTGCATTTAATTAAAGGCGCTGTCTGAGGTTATTACGCTGTTTACATATTCATCTGTTTACCCCACAATCTGATCAATGTCTCAGGCCCACAGGTGACAGGCACTCTAATCACTGGGCTCCAAAGACATCATTTTGTTCCCTCTGAGATGGATGCATGTGTACACACTCTATCATGCTCAAGATTGTGTGCGGGGTTAGGGAAGGCCACAAACTAATTCCTTACTCTGACTCTTACAGTTTCAGAATCACCTCCGAGAATGGATAAACCTTTGTGTAGATTTCTAAATAATTAAGTCAAGCTCTGATAACGTAGTGAGTTTTCTAGACTAGAGTTGACTAAAAAAGTGAAAGAAAAGGGCCTAGATTTGGACAGATTACCTTATGGTGACACTCGGATCGTGTGTCACACCACAGGTCATAACAGCCTTTGTCCCTTTGATGACGCTTTGGTCTTGAGGTGGTTTGGTGATTCTGGTACGTGCTGATAAAAAAACAAAACAGAGACTGTTACTAGAAGACTACATTTTTAAAAAGTAGAACATCTTTTTTTCTCTCAAAGTCACTCTGAAACAGGATCAATAGTTGTATGACTTTCTCAAGGGTTTCAAGGACTGGTATTGTGAATCTATTCACAATGAGCACTATCAACTCTGTGACTACAGTAATAACATTTTTATCTTCACCTTCAAGAACCGGTTACACTATGCACTACCTCTGCTAGTTGCAACTTCTGGATTACAAAATTATATTTTTCTTTACTTTTCTTTTGATTTTTTTTACCAAGGCTCTTTTGTTGAATAATTTGAATAGTTTTTCCATGGAGTCTATTTGTTTAGTTGAGCTTACCCCACACTACTATGTCAGCTGAGGCCTCATCAATCCCCCTGGAGTTACTGGCCATGCAGGTGTAGGTCCCAGCATCAGACAGGTGGGTGGGGCTAATGAGCAAGCTGCCTGACTCCAGCAGGGTGAACCTGGGCAGCTGGACTGAACCACTGGCCAAGACACGTTCACCTGCAGGGAAGGGTGGAAGTGATTGATGATGTGGGAAGGAGGACAAGGGAGAGTAGGGAGGAAGAGGTGGGACAAAGAAAGAGAGAGTGATTATGGCATTGGAGAAATGTCAGAGAAAAACACATGGCAGGAAGAACACTGCATGTAAAAAAGTAAAAAAGGAGAAAGCTTGTTTGGAGAACGTTTATATTTCCCTTGGATTTTAGCAAGTCAAAATGCTGCAGTGAACACATCGCCCAAGAACCTCATGCTGCTCTGTTAGCCCACGCACCTTTCTGCCAGGTGATGGCTGGCCGCGGAGCTCCCGAGGTCTCACAGTGCAGAATAACTGACATACTGTCAATCACGGCGCTGTCGGAGGGGCCGGCTGTGATATTAGGAGCAATACCTGAGCAGGGTCAGCCGCACGCAAAACAAACACACACACACGAAGAAAAATGCATACATTAAATAAAATCAGCTGAGACAGAGGTGATAATAAGAGACATAAACAGCCTTGTCTCTGCTAAAGCAGCCGGCTGTCGAGAGCTTAATAGTCTTGACAAAGGGGGCAGCTGTCAGGTCTCATTCTCGCCGACAGCTCTGAGACTGGACTGAAAAGGCACCTTCATCTCTGTGCTTCACCTGCTTTTTCCCTAATTCAAAAAAGGCAATAATTGCCTGGGCATCCAAGGTGACAAATCTGTCACTGTGAAGAGATACATAGATAGATTGGTGTAGAAAGGAAGACAGAAAGGGCGACTGAAATTGGTTGGAACTGAAACAAGAAGGATTTAAAAAATAAATAGGAGAGTGATGAGAGAGGAAGGTGAACAGAATTAAGTCAAAGACCTGGGGGGGGGGAGTTAAAAATGTAAATTTTAGGGGTACATACTTGTAACAGCCAGATAGCTGTTTGTCTGAATCTCTCCGGCAAGATTGCGGGCAAAGCACTGAAACATCCCTGTGTCATCTGGCAGGAGGCCATTGATCTGGAGGCTGCCGCCCACCAATACCCTGTACCTGGGGATCTTCACTGGGCTAATGGGAACGGCGTCTTTGTACCACACTATGTCTGGCTGTGGCGTTCCTGCAGAGAGGATTGACCTTGTTATGCCGATCCTCTGCTTCTTTTTCATGCACTCTTGCTCCTTCACTCATGCAGCAGCACACTTTGAAACGTAAACATCACCGACCTCTTGCCTGACAGGGGATATCCACCACCTTCTCCATTTCTGCGGTGATGTGAGTCGGCGGTTCCTTTATGAACAGCGGATATTCTGTTTGGGACATGGAAATAACAGACATTGACCCATTTTTATGTCATTGGGGACGGCACAAATGGTTTTAACTCATCTCTCAGCTCGCTGAGACAATACCGCGTAAGCGCATGGCTGAAGCGTTAGCAGTAGTTTAATTACCAAGAACGTGCAGGTAGGCGCCGGCGGTGACGGAGGGGACGCTGCTGCTGCGGAGGGACGCCTCACACTCGTAGTAGCCGCTATCACTGACTGCTGGTAAACTGATGACCAATCTACGTCCGAAATCGCGGACCCCCGTATTGACCAACATCCCATTTTTCCTCCACGTTATACTCATTTTGATGAGAGGTCTGGAGGAGCAAAGAAAAGATAGAAAGAAGGAAAAAAGAGGGCAAGAAACAGAAAAACGTGGTTTTAATACAGAAGTGTATTCTGTTTCAAGGTTAGGGAGCATTGAGGGTGAAATGGAACACATCTGTCATTTTGATTAAGTCTTTGAATTGGAGATAATAGTCAGAATTAAAAGCTGGCAATGTGTGAGATAGTGAGAACGGAGTGAAGCCTTGAATCAAAGGGAGGAATTGAGGAGGTACAAAATGAGAGATGTGAAAACCACTTTTCGATCATGTTCAAACAAAAGATTTCAAAACTAATTTAAATCACAAAAATATCAAACGTGGAGGTCTGAGAAGGTAGGGGTGCTTTGATAACATGTGTCTGCGTGCGCCTGCATGTCTGTACCCCAACACACGTGTGTGTTTGCAACCCTTTACCTCGCATTGGCAACACACTCCATGATAGCTTCGTTTCTCCCCACTGTTACACTGGTGTTCTTCGGGGGGATGATGATGGAGGGGGCAATGGGGTCGGCGGGTCCTCCGACATCTATCACACAAACACAAACACACAAAAAAGTGAAACCAATCTATAACTGCTCAACACCCTCTGATTAAGCCTGTGCATCTGCCTGATGGAGCCAGCTGAGCATGACTAGATCCCTTCACAGAGAAAGACAATCTGTTACTAGTACCAGCAGGCAGCCAGCCTGCTATAGCCCAACTTTTAACACCTCTTTCTGTACTTTAGATCCTTCCACTGGCCCACACAGCATTTTCCTTGGCGAGGTGTTAGCCCAGGTGTTAGAAACCATTATGTAACATAATTGAGACAAACACAAAGACGAATAAATGCAGCACCACCACTCATGGGTTTCATGGAGCCTCCAGCCATCCATCGATTCACTGCCCTCAATCAGTGATCTCTCTCTGAATCTGATCTCATTTTCCACCACCTCCCCAGTGGACAAGTATGGGCCTGTGAGCTTGTGTGTATTTGAGTGATTGCGTGTTTATAGTATGCTCCATGTGTGTATTGTGCTGTGGTTGTTTTGCAGGTAGTCATTTTTAGGGTCTAGCCTGGGTTAATGAGTTTCCTAATCAAGTTTTATGACTACTATGAGTACACTGTGACGCCACTGCAAAACCCAACCTATGACAATGGTTTAATACAATATTATTAAGCATAAGACAAGGCTTATCATTAAAGTATCATGAACTGTATCAGATATAAACTCAATAATTAAAACACAGACACTGTTCAGTGTTGGCTGGGTAAAACTTCTGGTCTAATTGACTGGAGAAGTGTTGCAGATCATAAAGAAACATAATACTGAAGGAAATTGAAAAACTAATCGTATTTAAATGCTGCTGACATTTTGCTTCCACACTGTCAGAAAGCATTTACCACCACATAATAAAAACATTTAAATGATTCCCAAATCTCACCAACATACAAACAGAATGTTGACTTGATGATAATTCAAAACGGCAGCAAACGCTGGATAAACATAAATGTAAGATCATTATGGTAAAGTTTGGAAAATGAGTCACAGACATTAGGTTTTGAGCAGAGATCAACTGAGAGACACAGATGAGTGTGCTGGACAAATATTCACATGCTGACATGCAAATCAGGTAAGATAAGCTAAGATAAACTTTATTGATCATTCCTGAATTTATTGATACATTTTGATATAAGGAAGCTGAACACAATGGGAGGGAAATCTTCCAAAGTTCATAATGACTTAATTTCATCCTGGTACAAACATGCAAGAGACAGTTTGGCTGACATTATTATTTTGCCCCAGCCTAGTGGATGTATGCAACAACAATCTCAGTCACTTGGGTCAGAAATGATAAACCAAAATGTAAGATTACAGAATTTGGCTGATCTATGTCATTTTTCAGCCCAGTCGATGAGTTATTTTTTGGGGGATATTTCACTCGTGGGTTTTGTAGGAGTGGAAAAGAAGAATTTAAAGTAATTAAAAACTCAAGTTTTTTCAAGAAATTGATATACGTACATGTTAAAGTGTTTTTTTCCCACAGAGCTTGTGATGCAGTCATACTAAAGCTGTTTAAACGTGAATTGCATTTCTTGAGAGGAACTGTCTCTTTTATACAGAGCGATGATGGCTGTTAAGGATCTGTTTGAAGTCTGTCAGCTGCCACAATTGATTGAAACTGTGGTCTGCTTCCTGCTAGTACAACAAAAATTCAGAATCCATCACGTTCTTTTCTTAAAATACACAATTACTTCCTGTCAAAATATAATTAATGTATGGCATTTCATAAACTCCCAGAGTTGAGAATATCTCAAGTGTGTAATCTCCTAATTAAATGCACACAGTAAACAGTGTGGTAGCCTGCATATCAATTTCTCCCTACTAATATCACAGCACTGCTTACATCTGTTGTTGTCCAAAAACAAATGTAAACTCTAGTCATCTCTGGTGTATTTGACACTCTAAAGAATAAAATGAAACACCAAAGTGTCGGGTTACTTGAAGCATTAGCCAATGTCAGTTTTCTTTTTCCTGTTACCCTCAGCATGGTCTCATTTGTATGCTCTCTTAAGAACAGGATGCTCCCTCTGCTGTCTTTTTTTCCGTCTCTGTTCTCTACAGAATTGCTAAAATGAACAAATGCAGCTTTGAAAACCTTATTGACTTTCAGATGCAAAACAAAACTGTGGGATCTGCAAGGTCAGATTTGGTGAAATTCAGTGAAATCTGGTCCCAGAAGATTGCTATGTCATGTGCAATATGGACTGAATTACAAACACTGCATGAAGGAATTGAGAAGCAGATTGTGGAAGGTGTTTTCAGGAATGTGCCGTTTCTCTGGTAACCTGCTAAATATCTCTGAAAAACTATTTAAAATCGCTATGATATACATACTTCCAAAGGCTTCCAGTGGAAGCTAAGTGATATAAACATACTGCTGTTGCAGGCAAGCAGAAAAAAAATACTTTAATTGGCTGATAGAGATAAGCTATGAAAGATGGATTTTTTTCAGATAAAAGCTAGAGAGAGTGTGGGAATTTGTGCATCTTTGTACAGATAAAAGGTGACAGTTGGTGGGAGGATCAGGAAGGTTCAGCTAAACTCTGATGACATGACGTCTAACCATGCCTGCACCGCCGATGCAAAATTTCATTTGAAGTTGGGAGTTTGTTTGCTTAATTTGAGGCCGACCTTTTAATCTAGTGCGTTCGTTTGTGAGAGTGTTTGCAGCTATAAGCATTCCCTCTCTGATACGTGCGTTTTCCATAAATCTGCTTTTTTGAGGATGTCTGTTGAACTGAAGGTTCATATTATGAGTCTGCACATCACACCAGCATGGCGGGTGGTTCTAGAACTCTACCTAAGGCATAAATTGTGGCTGTAATTTACCGCTCTGAGCAGTGGGTGGATGAGTCCAGCGGAACAAGTGGGTGACTGTTTTTGTACTGCTGGTATTTGGATCTATATGGCCCATCTATAGAGGGCGCTGTATCTGTTCCTGTTATCAGTAGAGGAGCCACCTGTTGCAGAGCTGCTATGTTGAATGAGCATGTGTCTTTACATGATAGTTAAAGATTTTAATTGCAGGTGAGTAGTCTATATCTGTGTGGATAAAAACGGCTATTCCCTAAGCGTGACAGCAGGTACGTGTGAGAAAAAAGGTTTGTGTTGTCATGCCTACTTACTCTCCACTGTGAGAGTCACCGGCTGACTGGTTTTGTTCTCTCCATTCTTGTCATTGACTGCTTGAGCGTAGTAGCGTCCTGCATCCGGGGCCACTGTGGAAAGGATGACCAGTGTGCTGTCCAAGGTGATGGCACTGTACAAAAACACACATTAGTGAAGGATATTTTAAAAACACCACACTGAAAGTGTTAGTAGCCGAGCATGCACCACTAAGTTGTGAACACCGCGGGTAAAAGAATAGTCTGCCACAAATTCAAAAGAAACCTCAATCAAATTCCAAAAATCTACTCTAAAACATGACATTCACACATGCTTTAAACAAGCATTTATACACACTCAAACCCACAGAGACACACTCAGGTCATTAAACAAGACTTGTTGTTTCTTACAAGAAATAAATCCTGGGGGTTAACTGACACAACAATGCATGTAAATTATGTGAAAAAGAAGCTCACAAAGACATTTTTTAAGAGGGCTTTCATCTACAATGCACCACGTGCCTTGTAACAGAACAGCTCAGAGGTTTGTATCCTATTTTGTAGTGTTCGGCAGAGTGCAAAGTCCTCTGTTAATTCTAATTTCTGTTTAACCTCAGGGATTTATGCACATTGACAAGACATGCACACCGTCTTGTTCGTTGAAAATCCGCCACGTGTCCATAAAGACTAACCTGTTAATTTTATGCAAACATCGTGCCACTAGTAAAACTACATCCCCATTCATCTCAGTTATTTTTTGCATGATATAGTCATTACAATGCCCTAGATCTATGTATCTTGAATTTTGGTTTTGTCTTTTTCTAACCTTAATCCAAGCTAATCTTTTAGTTCCCAGAGAATTTCAGGAATGTTGTTTTTGGACTATTGCCTGGAAATGTTGTTTACTGCTGTTCATCATACTAGTTTTGGGTAGCACATTTTGGTCTCTGTAACTCTCTCTTAGAGGAACCTTACAGGACCAACGTAGCATGTTTCAGTTTAACTGTAGTAAGCTCTGAAAAAATCTAACTGAATTCATGAGCAACATTGAGTAAAAAAGCCAACACAACTCTCAGATAATGTTCGGGATTTTATTTGCATAAATGTTTCGACATTTTGCAAATGCTGTCCACATGTTGTTCTTAGAGGAGGCGCAGTCTATCACCAGAGGAACGAGCTGTGCTTCGTAGGATTGCATTTACTGTGTAAAGCTTCACAGAATACTGTAAGGCCACAACATTTAATACACTTGAAATTTGCCTCTAAAGTTTAAAGCCATCCTTTCCGATCGTTTATGTAACTGCTGTGGTGCCGTCGTCCCTGAGAGGACTGAATGCCCGTTAAGCTGATAGTCCAAGATGTTTGTGAAGTGCCTATTAAATGAGAGTTGACGCTAAGCATGAGGCCAGATTAGGCTATTCTTATTTCTGCCACCATCTGCTTGATCAATGTGGGATAAACACTCATGGACAGTTAGGAGCTGCAGCTCTCACAAAGTCAACAGACACACAAACAGCGACGCACTCGCACACGTGTGAATGTGAGTGTGAGAGCTGTCATTGCTTCTCATCGTCACTGGCCTAAATTTCCCTGATGATACGTCAGATTACGGTGTCCCTCAGTGCCTGTATCGTATAATTACCATTAATATTTTCACCTCTTAAATGTATTTTGTTCCATCTTACTTTTTAGATCTGCAGGCCGATGACACATGCAGAAGTCTAAGCTTTAAGCAGGAACACGCAACTCAGGACGAAAGTGTTCATAACTGCACTGACATCGTACAGCAGGCTGCTGAATTATAAATGAGGAGGTGGTTTCTGAGGAGTTATGGACTGCCTACTTCTATTTGTCTGGATGGCAAAATTAGTCTCAGGTGATTACTTTCATGGTGTCGCCTCGGGAAAATTGCATAAGAGAGCAAGCGTGAATCTGACCAGCCGAAAATAAGGCACCACTCACAAACTGTGAGCGTGGCACACCCAGTCAAACACTGACCCTGTAATGTATGTTTCCAGTCTCAGACAGATTCCTAAAACATAGGCACACACACACATCCTCACAAATCCAACCACGGGTGAGAGCTGTCTGTCAGTCATATCATCAATTGAGGCCTTTTGTCCAATTTTGCCTAATTGGTTCCCCTGCGGCCTGATCCATCCCTACCCTTCAATCATTCTGCCTACAAAGTCAATAGGGGAGATATAATAACCCGCCTTATCACTGAGAGGTGATTCAGTGATGAACACAAGGCCTGCGTGCCAACATTTGCCCATCAACTATTCTGCTAAATTTCACTCATGGCGTGAGGGGGAATTGAAGAAAATCTGAGAGCAGTATTGAACTTCTCTGTTCTGTGAAGTGAAAGAAACTCTGCTCCAACCGCCCAGCATTCAGCAGCAACACGGTTACTCTTGCTCAGACAAGAACCCATGCACACACACACACACGCCTATGTTTTGTTTTACTCACAGAAACCAAGCTGGGCTGAGTTTGGACTTACATACGGCTGCTTGAAGGAATCTTACGACCATCTCTGAACCAGGTTATCTGGGGCCTGGGGAAGCTGTGTATCTGTGGAGCGTGGATGAGAGCGCCTTCGCCCTGGGATACGGTTTGAGACCTCTCACCTTCCACAAAACCACCCATATCTAGCAGACATCAAAATCAGATCAAAGAGAAATTGTGAAAAAGAAGTGTACCACAGGAGACATTTGTAGCAATGAACTAATATGATCAAAATAAATGATAGTTCTCATTAACGTGCTCCTTCAGTTAGACTAATTGACTTGTGCATTCACAAAGACAGATTTCCTCATTAACTATTTAGATGAAAGGAAAAAAAAACAGGACTTACAGGCGACCTGCACTTCAGTGCTGCACTGCATTATAGCCCCCACACGGTTGCGGACAATGCAGCGGTAGTGACCAGCATGCGATCGGTCGAGCGAGGGGATCAGGTACCTAATGGGCACACAAAATATAGTGCAATTAGTCATCATCAGCATGACAGACAGCAACATTTGTCATCTTGGCACTTTTATCAGCCACACTCAGGATGCTAAATTAATTGAGATGTTTCTCCCACCTGAAACAACCTGAATTGAATTCCACTTAAGACTTAAATGTTCTAAAATGCAACAGAGCACCACTGAGACAGGACTTGGTGTTGACATAATGTTAGACGGAAAAGAAAGTAAGCTAAAAAACAGAGTGCATTTTTATTACACGTGGTCGAGCTCCTGGCTGGTTATTTGCTCTTGTCTTCAATCTGTTCCATCAGATAATAGAAGCATCTGTCCCAAGTTTCAGCCACAGCTCTGTATCCCTGACATGCAGACATCTTTAAGTGTGTGCGCGTGTGCAGAAAGCTTGCGAGATAACCAAAAAAGCTTGAATTGGTTTGCCACAGCCACTTAGGAGTGTGGTGTCTACCCCAGCCGTGTTCTCCCTACTCTGGGGGTGGGTGCTGGGGGCTGATTAAATGGATTCCAGTTCTCTTCTTTGATCAAGGCTGGTGGAGAATAATAAGCAGTGGGCTGGCCTACAAGGCAGGCCCGGGACTGAGCCATGTGAGAGCAGCCAAATGCTGAGGGAAAAGAGGGAGAGAAGAAGATGAGGGAGCAGAGAGATGTGAGAGTGGAAGAAAAAAGACAGGGAGGAATTGCTGTGAAAGACTATTTGTGTGTTCGTAGTGATAGCAATCACACAATCCCGCCCAAAAGTGTCTGACCATAGGCAGGGTTCTGATCAGTGTGCGATTAAACTCCTGAAAAAGGGACTTGAACTGGATAGAAGGTGAATTTGACTGGACTGTGACTAGCTGGGTGAGAGAAAGGGCCGTATCAACACGGGGTGATTTTTTTTTTTCTTTAAACAACCTTCTCTGTTAAAGCAATTCTAAAGCAGTGTGTTAGGAGGCATTAAAAAAGGTCCAGCAGTTTCTGTTTCTGTGCTGTTAAAAGAACAAAGCACCGTAACAATTCCTCACAACTGCTGCAGGATTGTACTACAAAAAGGATAGTTTAAACAAGCAGCCGAAACATTAAAAGACAAGTTATCCGCTTACATAATCTATGAATGCTAAATGATACAACTTCGGAATAAATCTGTAATTCCCCGAACACATGGTGTTAGCTTTCAAGGGAGATGTGCAACCAAATCAGTGCTGAATAAAATCCCTGGGAATGAATATGAATGAAAATGAGCAATTGTGCTATTAGATACAATCAAATGCTGTTAAAATGTCTTCCTGTTGGGAGATAATTGCAGTTGATGAATAAAACAAATGAGAATTGAATCATGCTTAACAGCAGGGTTGCATTTCTCACCTGTATTCCAGTGAGAAATGTGTAAGCTCACTGCCATTATAGATCCATTTGAATTCCAGGGGCCAGCTGCCCTCTGCCATGCAGGTTAGGACCAGGCGGTTTCTCTCCAGGTGAACCTGGGTCTGAGGAGGTTCCATCTTGAAATAAGGTGGGACATCATCCACTGTAATAAAAAAAAAGAAAAAATGGGGAAAATTAAGTTAAAGAAAATGAAAAGGAACTAAAAGAGTGAATAGAGAGAATAAAAGGAAAGCACTGAGTAGGACTTATTGCTAAAAGGTGAATCTGTCACAGGAAACGAGGGCTTAAAAACACACCATTTTCTTTTCTTTTTTTCACTGCGCTGACTAGAAACTTGAAGGTCATCAAGAAAATATTGCCAAAAAACACATAAGGAATACATTAATATTACAGAAGGAGCTTAGTCTTTCATTTAGAATTTCAATATGCTGACAAAGAGGTGCGAGAGCAATTTGTGTCGAAGAAGAAATACAAATGAACACCTCCATACCTCCAAATGACTAAAATAGCACGGGGTAGAAGATGGAGAAGGAAAGAGAGGAGCAAGAACAGACAGAGCAGATGGAGAAAAATACAACAATGGGGGAAAAAAAGAATGCGGGCACTTTAGATGAGGGAAGACTGAAGATCTCGGAAGCCATGGAAGGTGGTAGCAGAAGGAGTTGCTTTAGAAACATAAAGTTTCCCCTTCCTAAACCCACTTCTCTGACAGGATGAGTTATGCTCTGTGCTTCCCTTCATTTATCTTTATAGTTCCCTAATGCAGCCAGATTATACAGGCTCCATCTGCAACGCTGCACACCGCTAGTACAGCCACAAAAAGCCTTTAAGGTGATATGTAACGTCCAGGGCTGAGTTTAGAGACAAAGTGCTTTCATTTGAGCTGATGAAAAAGCCATGATCAGATCTATTGATCTGTCTGCCCCACTAGCCACCGGCGACACTGAGCCAATTGTGCCAGTGTTTGTGTCGGGCTAATTAAAGTCTATATTAATAGTTGCAGCAAGTCACCGTTGCCCGGAGCACTACTGGTTCCAAGTCTGCCACACTCTGACTCACTCTGGGCTGATCACTTGTGACCTCTTTTGCTCTCCACGCCCATACATAGTTCATAGCCAAGATTTATGAGAGCAGATTCAGGGGATGATGTGGTGGAACTGGTTGAGTGTGAGGGCAGCCTTGCTGAGCAGGGAAAGGGACAGAGAAAATTGAACATGATTGAAACTGTAAATAAAAGAATGACTGTGGACCTCTGCATTTCCCATAGGCAGGCATGTGTGCAGAGGACAGTCTTGTGAAACAGTGCACATATTTCAGCCATTGCTTACAAAACGTAATCATCACATTCATGAAAGGGCAAAAATATCATCATATTGGCCGCTTTCCCTTTCTTATTTTAAAATTATTCTTGTTTTGAAACAGCACTTGCCGTCTCTAATCTTCCTTACCAGCTACCCTTGCATGGACTTTAACAAACACGGTCAAAAGCAACAGGCCCTCGAAACTGATCCCTCCTGGCGCCAAAATGGGAGAGCTATCGCTATTTTCCCTGGGCACAAGCTGTGTGAGTGGTGGCTTTGTTGTAATTCCATCCACTAGTAAATGCATTCGTACTTGACACACACACAAACACCCGCCATCACACACATGAGCAGTTCTAAAACATTCACCTACGTCTGAACAAACCCATACATGAGCTGAAGCAGGGGCTTGCTGCCTATGTGCACTTAACAGTCACTCCATCAACAAGCTGCTATTAGAGGCCAACGCATGTACAATCCTGGACTCACACATTGATTCTCTGAGGCAAAGAATATGAAAAAATCACAACCTACTGATGGGAAATTGTGGAACAGAGAATCGAGTGCCCAGTGATGACCACTACCGAAACCTGCTGTGGTGCAGCTCATGTGATCACATTCCTTTCAGCCTTAAATGACCCATTCAAATGAAACCTGATTGAAAATCCCTGGACACCTTTTGTGTGTGACCGGTATGACTGGCTTTGTATTTAGTGCAAAGTACATATTTTCAAGAACAAAGCCAATGATGGTGATATAAAGATATACTGAACATCATTTAAGAGCCCAGAATCAAAACACAATTCTGTGTTGTGTAGCCAAAGAAAAGATTGGCCTCTTTGTATCACCTACTCTATAAGTGAACCTCTCTTCTAAACTCAGAAATTAGGTGAGCACAGACCATCAACAGATGGGTTACTGCTGAGACAAGGTAGGGCAATTTCTCTGCACACTCACCCCAGAAAACTAATGTAAAGGCAAAACTTTGTTCATACAAGTTTGTGCCAGCTGTAAACTCTGCATGCAGTGTCAACGGAAGAATTATTTGTTTTATGATTTAAGCATTAGGAGAAGAATACTTGTATATGTGAATACATACACTGGGTTTGCATTTGTCAAGGAACATCTCGTCTATTCTTGCTTACGAATGTGGAAATTTGAACATGCATGCTGCCCATGCAGACACATCTGATGATATATGCAGCGGTGCACTGCACACTGAAGTGATGCTGTCATTAATCTGTCAGGTATTGCTTTGCAGTGACAAAACTGAACATCACAGATATGATCCAAACGCAGTGTCAGGTGTCACGTATTTTAAGAGCACTGAGACTTTATAGAGCAAACCTATGCATGCCACACGGATACAATTATAGGCATGCAGTTTCTTTTGATGCTCAAAGGAATAATAACAGATATTACCACTAAATAACAACCATTTATTTCAGGCAAACCTGAGGTTTTTTGCTTTTTTTTTCTCTTAAAGACAGCACTAGGGGGTTTTGGGATGCATGGAAGTGGCCGCTGAAGCCTTCGAATTTTGGAAGAAGAAGAAGGGACGGCCTATGTGGACCAGGACCTCCTGCAGCACTATGTCCTGAGATAAAAGCCAAAAGGAGACTTAAGATCTAGGGAAGACCAAAAACTGGCTTGGGAGGACTGGGAAAGCTTTTAATGCGACTGCTGTGCAGAGTGGCAGACTCCAACAGCCAATCTGCGCGACCACAGCCCGTTCAGCGCACATATAAAAACACCTTATTCTAACCTGACAGCTGAGGTTGAATGGTGGCACAACTCCAGTCGAGTCCCCTGCTGCATGTACAGAATTTTAATGGCTGTGAGACAAAGACCGCAAGCACCGGGGCAGCTTTATATACCAAAGCCCATTGTGCTCTCCGTTGCACCACGCTGGCATGCAATCACACAGACTGTGTTCACATTCGGCTTTTGTCTTGCATTTTTTTTTCTCTTGCTTATTTTGTGCCTCACCTTCTAACCCCAGCTCAACAACAGCAGCAGGGAGCTCTTCCTGTCCTCTGTTTAATCCTCAGGCACCTGTGTTTGCGCCTTTGTAACCACGACCTAGTGGGCACTTGGCACTATCACTGAGATTCAGCAAAAGTGGACAGCGGAGACCCGGCCTGCTGAAACATTTGAGAGTCTCTTGTTATCCTCTCCTACTCTTTTTTTCATCCTTCTCTCAGAGTACCTTGTAGGCTCCTTTTCTACCTCCTTTTCTACACATATGCATATGCAGATACAGTAGATTCCCCGCTCCATCTGCTCAGCTCAGTGCATCATGTCATCTGGGAAAATGTAGTGCTGTCATTTAGCCTCTCAAATTGGTCTTTAACCTGTGTGATGGGTCATGGTTAGCCTCTGATGGTGGTGGTGGGGGGGGGGGGGAGGGGGGGTGGTGGTGTAACTGTCACAGCAGTGACCTTGGCCTTGTAATGGTTTGGTGAAAGCATAAGGGGTTGGGGGTGGATGGAGAGGGGTTAAAAGCATCTTGAAAGCTGACGAAACTCTTCCCTCATGCATTCTCACCTCCAAGAATAGTAAACACTCGTACTTGTGTAATAGGGTGTCCAATGCAATTCAATGGTTGCTTTAATAGTTTTAATGACGATGTTTACGGCAGGACATGAAACCCCTTTAATAGACAAGTTAATAAACACAACAATCATCAAAATATGATCCTTTACAATTGGTAATGCAGTTCATTCTGAAGGTCAGGCTGAACACAGGCCACTGTCACCGTGACAGCAGGAACTGATTTAAACTCCATCTCTTAGGTGAGTCAGAAAGGAGGCCAACATGAAAGGAGGGATTAGGAAAGGGATGGAACAAGACAAAAACAGAGCAGACAAAGAGAGTGACTGTGAAGCAGATGTTAAGAGAAATGCAGTCTAATGGTTAAAACAAAGAGAGATTGAAAACCCGTAGAGCATCAGGGTTATATGACAGACTGAGATGTGGAGAGAGAAAAATGAAAGGAAAGACGGTTGTCCTCCAACAAAGGAAGGCAAGGTGAAGAGACCCATTACAAGAGAAGCCATTCAAGCAGGCCCAGTCAGAACGCGGGGAGAAGAGATTGAGGGCCTCTGTGTACACCAACATTAAATTACAGAAATGGCCCATGAATCAGCATTTACATGCAGTACGCGAGTATCTGTCCATCACAGCCTGATGTATCCCAGATGTCCCCAAAGCTGTATTTATAGCCTCTAAATCATGCATGTTGACCACTCAGGATGTATCACTGTTGTGGCAATATAGACTTTCACACGGCCGTGTGCTCTGCCCAAGGGAATAAATGAAGAGGAAATATAGATTTTTACGTCAAGTAATTAAAAATATCTTTCTTTTTGGTGCTGCATCTGCTTTGATGCTGAAAAAGTCCTCAGGTTGGTCCCGATGAAATACTGCCTGCATCTCAGCTGGGTTTAGTGGATTGCCACGGGTTAATTGATGTGTAATTGATGAGATTAATTGAGGTGTAATGTACTGTGGTGACGTGTCCGGGTTCCCACTCGCTGCAGGGCTCGTGCGTGTGCATGTTTAGGTGTGTGCCCACAAGTACTACAGCCGCACAATTAGAAACAGTACTGTAGCATCCAGCCAACAAATGGAGATTTAATTAGTAGCGAAGACGGAGCGGGAGACCAGTCAATGGGCAGCAGATTGAATTATCTGGACACACGGTACAGCAGGCAGCCCAGACAAATTCTCAGTCACACACATACTAAAACAGATACACTGTTTCTGTTTGGGATTCTTCCCTGTTTGCCTCAATGCTCCTCCGAATGCATGCCTCTACCTCTCTACTAAACTCTGCCTG